TTTAAGAGTAATCACATCATTATAGATTCTGGGAATTAAGAAATTTAATGTAACAAAAGAATACAAAAGATAATTAAATCTTGAGACATCAAGAACACACCTTGGCTGATAAGAAGCGGCATAATGAAAATGAAATTCTTCAGTTTCGACAACCGCAGGAGCTGAGAAAATGAAGGATATAGAAGTTGTAGAATAGAGTAAAAAGGACAACAAATAAACATAAATACAAAAGTAACATACCTAATTTTTCGTCTTCGAAGGCAACTAATTCACGTAATAGACTTTTTTCTTCAACTTCTTTCATACCCCAGATGACAACAACACCATATTCAAAGAAAATAATTTCAGGAGTTTCATTTTCCTGTTCTTGAGGAAGGATTACAGAATCCTCGATACCTAAAAGATCAGCAGTAGTTGGTGGTTTAGGAGGACGAAAGGAAAACGGTGTATATATGCTATGTGATGAGTAAGTAAACAGAAATAAATTAATTCAATGGTAAACTATTGTTTTTTTTTAGCTTTTTTTAGGAGGAAATTTGAAATGGTTTAAAGTAATAATTAGCATTTATATGCTTACCATTCATCCAAACGTTTTGGAGCGGTACGATTACGTACTTTTCGATTTTGAAGATATTTCATTAAATCATCTAACCGATAAGTTCTATAAAAGTTTAATAAATCAGCGGGAGAATATGATATAGGCACAATAAAGGGAAGGATTTATTTAAAACTTAGCATACGCAGCGGTGCAATATGCAGTGACCCGGGGGAGTTTAAGTCGTTCTTGTTTGCTAAGTCTTTCAGCTTCTCTTCTAGCAGTTCCCTGTGTAAGTTGACCGATTTGATTGTATTTTCCATCAATCGTTTCTTCAACATTAGTTTGTTCTTCCGGAAAAAGTTTTAGTTTTTGAGAAGTCTTTGTCGTTCTATTAGGCTGTTTCGATTTTACTCTGGCTCTTCCGCCAACTTGAGGTTCGGTTTGTGGATCTATAACTGAAGGCTTTTGAGCGGAAGATTCCGTCAAAGAAGCCGAATTCGAAAGTTGTATATATCCTTGTTGACGTTTCTGCATTGTGAAAATCGACTAAATGAAAATTATCTAAATTACCGGTTTATTTTATTTTATTTCACTTTTATTTTATTTTTTTTGAAAGGTAATACAGAACTGAACCGCCAAACAGCGGAAAATTTGGAAATTCCACGACCATGTGATAAGCTTTGTAGAAACCAGATAAGACTTATATTGAATTATTCTCAACTGTACAGATTTATATATTGATACGTATACGTATAGCATGACAGAAGTTCTATTTTATTGGCTGCAAATATGCGATCAGCTGATCTGATTTATTAGATCGTGATTGGCCA